CGCCTCCTACCCTTGATGCTTTACACCACAAACTGCTCTCCCCAAGCAACTACAGCAATCCAGGATTACAGATACCAGGGCTGTGCTTCGTTACACAGCAGCGTGCACCATCTCAAAGTCACTTCGTTCTTCAAACTGAGAGCTTGAAGCGCGGCAAGGAGCTGATCAGAAAAGTCAGCGGGCATCTACCTATAGCAGCTCGATCACTACACTCACTGTTTACCTCTACAAAGCTCACTAGACTACAATTTTTTTTAGTTATTGTTGCTACGGGTGTCAGGAAGAGTCAGTCTTTATTAGCTAGGACTCACAAACCATCCCATTATTTCTAATTAGGGGAACACGGGCAAATGAGGAGCCACGATGGCACAGATATGCTCTATTTGTACACATGCTGTATTATATAGATGTCTGTACTGTGTAGATGGATGCACTGCCCATTTAGCACCAAGGAAGCAGTGCACCAAGCACTACAGCAGCAATTCCACAGGGCCAGATCTTTTGGAACCAAAGCTAAAACAGCACAGCTCCTGCTAGAAGTTTACAGTGCAATTTTTTCACCTTGTGGGGAGTAAATCTACGAGCATCAATTTAATTTTGTTCCACAAGGTGTGCGTGGGAGATTTAATCTCTTGCCCTAATCCATCACTAGGTTAGAAAAACAAAAGGACTTTCCTGCCAGGATTGTTAAAGTAATATTTTTCACCTCAAGGTGACTGAAGAGGTACTGACTAATGAAAAATACCCATAGCTACGAGGGGTCTGAATGCTTTTAAGTGTGTAATACCAGCTACAGTGAACTGCCAGACCTGGAGTGTGTCCTGAGGGAACAACTGGGCTCCATAAACATGCACCACAGTGCCAAAACAGCATTCCCAAGTCCTTCACAGCCCTGTCATCCCCTCCCATTTTCCTAGGCAGGCAGCTCTGCCCGCCCTGCTCTGCGTGTGCAGGATTCATGCTTTATTCACTCACTCCAGGATAAGCTGGAAAATTCAGTATTAAGTGTCTACAATGATTAAGTAGAAACCAGATCTTTTTGCGACGAGGCGAGACGTACCTGGGGCTACCCGGGCTGTGGAACTCCTCGTCCCCGCAGCCGGGCTCGCTGAGGCTGTGGCAGGCGTCGTGGACGGCGTAGACGGACATGCTGGGGTGCTCGATGAGGAGGTTCTCCATGGGACTGGTCTCCACCTTGATGGCTGTGAGCCCGCCGGCGGTGAAGCAGGGCGGAGGGGTGATGAACCAGCTCTCCTCCATGGGGCACGACTCGAAGTGGATGAAGCAGGACTCGCTGGCCTCCGGCAGGTGCTCCAAGGGGGGCGGTAAGCAGGGGAAGACGGGCGAGCTGCCGGCGGCCGGCGCTTCGGCGAGGTCCCCTTCCTCTGCGGAGCAGTTGGTGCAGGTGTCTGCTGCAGGGGAGGAAGCCAGGGACATTGGCAAGAGCAGGACACAGCCACAAGGTCAAACCAAGCCAGAAACGGGATATAGGAAGGCAGAAGCAGAAATACACCCCTGTCAGCATGTACACAAAATCTGCTTTATGAGCAAGGGGAGGGGAAAAGGGAGTTCCCTGATGATCCAGGCTAGACACCAGACACGTAAAACAACTGTTATCAGCAGAGCAGTGCAATTGTGTAATAAGTCAAATAGGGTTTATCAGCACGAGAGGCTCTGCTGAAGCCTGTGTCAGGTCTAGAGCCCTGACATCACTCTTCTCATCCGTTTACATAACCTGTTTCGGTGCCTTTGCTCAGAAGACACCTTCTGTTTGCTCAGAAGATGTACGTTTCTATCTACATTCCTTTTTCTTAGGCCAAAAATCCTGCTAAGTGACTGGTTTCTTCATGTGGAAAGGCGACAAGTACAAACCACCTTACCTATGAAGTCAACCAGAATCCACTCATCGTCTTCCTTCTCACTGAACTCTGGCTCTTGGCTGGACAGGCTGTCGATGTCTCCCATGAACATGTTATTTAACCTCTGGAACATCACTAAGGCAGGAACAAGGCTTTGGCTGGTGGATCTTTACACCCCAGGAGCAAGGCACAGCTCACACTGTATTAGCAGAGCGGCATCGACTGGAGATTAAAGTGCATGGATGCTTTATCAGCTTCGGCACGGGACGTTCAGAGTCATGGCTGGTAAACACTGCGAGAAAACAAACACAAACAGGCTGTTAATGACCAAGCAGCAATAACACCCTCAGGGAAGCGAATGCAAACCCTCCCCTTGGTGCTGCCGGCGGTGTCTGTGGGAGTTTCTCCCCCCAGTGAGAGGCACTGGGGCAGCCTGGCTGCCTGCTGGGCGAGGACAGCCTTCCTCCCAGGTCCTCCTCCCCGCACGGAGCCCTGCCCAGCCTCCAACCCCTCCTTCTGCCGGGTGAGGAGGGAGCTTTTGTGCTGCTGCCCAGCACCCCGCCGGCCTCCCCGGGGGCAGGGAGGGGGATACGGGGGGGGGGGGGGGAGGCAGTGCCTCAGACAGCACCCAAGGGTGCTTAGCGGCACCGTTACAACGCAGCTTACCCTAAAACTGTTCATTATTTGAGCTCCTGCTGCTCGTCAGGGCTCTCACAGCTCAACACCGCTCCGATAACACAGCAGACTCATAATTAACTGAGGTAAATTAATTACCCACACACACACACCAGCTCCTGGGGGGGGGGTACAGGGAGGGACCCCAGCCCCCGCCCCAAACAACGACCCCCACAAACGAGTGGTGCACAGCCGATCCGGGAAGGTTCAGGGAAACCAAAATAAGGCAGAAAAAGTAAAAATAAATAATGATAAAATAAAAAATAAATAAACAACAGCGGAGGCAGCGCCAGCAGCCCTGCTGCCGCCAGGCGGCTCCCACCACCCCCCCATACACACACACACAGCCCGGCGGCCCCAGCTCCGTGCCGGCAGCGAGGCACCGGGCCGGGAACCCCAAATCCGAGAGCCCTGACCCCAAGACCCGGCTCCCCCCCCCCCCCAGGTCCCAGCCCGGCGCCCACCTGCGCGCTCCCGCTCCCGCCGCTGCCGCTCCCGGCGCCGGGCGCGCGCCGTGCCCGCGCCGCCCTTTGTTGTGGGGGGGGGGGGCGCGAGGCCCCGCCCCCCGCCCCTCCGCCAATGGGAGGCGCCGCCGCCGCCTGTCGCTAACGCACGTGACGGGGAGGGGGGGAGAAAAGGGGCGGGGCTTCGCTGAGGGGAGGGGGGGAGGCTCCGCCCCCTCCCGGCCCCCCGCGAGGCTGAGGGGAGGGGATGGGGATGGGGAGGGGGGGAGCCCGCTGAGGGGGTTCCTGAGGTGCCCCCTCACGGGGAGCCCGAGTTAAGCACCAAGCAGATCCCCCGACATAAACCCCAAAGATGTGCAAAAATCCTGCCCAAGCTGCCCCTCACGCGCCTCCTCACATCGCCCCGAGGGATTTGTGTGAAGAAATTGATCGTGTGCACCCAGGAACCCCCAAACCCTTCATTTCTCCCCATAAATGCCTCGCTGGTTTCACTTGGTCCGTAAAAGATTCCAAAAGGTTCAAAAGGTTCCAGGCTTCCCCGCCTCACATTTCGGGACGTAAATTTGTTTTGTCCCTGTTGTTTAGAGCACGAGCGGTTTGGACGGGTCCGAGCACAGCCAAGCCCCGTCTCAGCGCTGGTGTCTCTGTACAAAATGTTCTGTCCCGAAAGAGGGCTTTTAGACCTAAACATCAGCCTCGGTTCAAATGGCCACTTCCCTTTCTGCTTCAGCTTTGGTTAGCTCGAAGCTGTCTGCGATGTTGGTGTAAAGATACCGGGTTGATCGTTCCCGTTGTAAGCCACACGTCTGTAACGCTGCTTTCCCAAACAGCAAGTTAAGATTTTGAGCAAGGCCAGGCCTTTCCAGATTTTTATGCGAAACAGGTGTCAGGGACCTGTTCCTATATTTCTAGAGCGTGCACTCAGCAAATTCAAGAATCCGCTTTGGACCTGACTCGGAGCCTCGTAGTTTGGCTGCGCGAGAGCCAAGGAAGCAGAAGTTACTGGATGTGATCCTCCAAAGCAGACTGAACAAGTTGGGCCTTTGGCTTTCTGGGGAAAAACTGTTATCTGCAAACGTTAGACCCGTGATCCTTCTCAGAAAAAGAGTCCTGGGTTAAGACAGGGGAGAATAATTTTTTCCTTAGAAGCTGTCAGCAAGCAAATCCTTCTTCTCCTATTGTTAGAGAGCAAAACCAGGCACGATGCTGTCTCCACATTTTTGTTGGCAGGGAGCCACTGTAAATCATAGCCAGATTAAAAAATAGCGGTGAGCTTTAGCCATGCTTCCAGCCATCTTCCTTGACTCAGCCAAAATAAAAACCCTTTCGGAAGGCTGGTCCGAATACCTCTGGGCTTATTTTTTTGTGGTGCCTTCACTGTCACCTTAGCCCCGAGGCACTCGTCAGTCATTTTCCATTAGGACTGGCTGCCCTCTTTTATATTTGTGCACACCTCCTGCCTAAGACCGTCAAGGAGAGCCGTCCTGTCATCCGAAGGAGAAAACACCCGGGGATTTTTCACTTTGGCATGAACTTGGGTTTATTACATTTATGAAATTCCTAATACATCAGTGTTTGATGGGTTATTAACGTGGTTATTAACCCTTCAATTTTCTGTTCTTTATTTCAGCGGTCATCTTACGATGATGTGCATCCCACAGTCAGTGTACAGGCCAGCGTGCTCAACCCATGCTGGGAAAAGCTGCTGCAGCTTCATGTCAGTAAGGAGTTGTTCTGTGCCTACTACAAGTCGAGCTCAGGGAGAACTTACCTTGGTGCCGTGATTTATTTTCCTGCGCTGGATTTATCTTCGTAAGGATTAATGCTCAGTGAAGGGATAAGTAGGTCTCTTTGTTGGTAGCATATCTGTGTTTTAAATCATGTGGGAATGACAGATGGTGATGAAATAACAGAAGTGTGTGTGCGGAGAGCTTCCTCCTTAAATTGTCAGCTCAGAGCATGTTTTGTTGTGTGGCTAGCCATGCTTAAAACCCTTTATTGATTTTTTTTTTTTTTGCACAGCCACAGTATCTGTGGACACACACTGTACACATGTCTGAGGCATTTCTAGCCCGACCAGCTATCCCCTTGTTTCCTTTCAGCTCTCCCACTGATCCGTATGTTTCCTAAAATAGCGAGCGCTATCTTTGTTTTGCTGCGATGAGTTACAAAGGAATTAGCAACATCAGCTTAGCAACCAAGTCATAAAAAATCAGGTCATTTTAAAACGTGCTTGCGTTTCAACCGCAAGCCTCCCCCCAGTTGTAAGTTTCCATTATCTTCGACAGAGCTCTCCGTCTCTGCAGCGTCCGAAGAAGAACCATGTGTGTGATTCTGTACTGGAATCCTTTTCAGCCGTGGATGTTTGTTGCAAATTCCGAGCCCAGGGTTTCTCAGCATTACTCAGAATAGACCCAGGAGATAAAAGATAAAAGACACGGCCTGTCCTGCTTGCAGGCACTGCGTCGGCAACAAAGCCAATCGATACTTCACAATATCCTTAGCCAGCATGTTGAGAACTAATTTCAGCACATTATATATACAAATATATGTGTATCTGTATGCATTTTGTAAATTATATACACAGCGTGTGATGCGTATGTGCTTTACCCAAGGAGGAACCGCCGGGATCCTAAGCACTTACTGACAGGTTCCCTTGCTCGCCTAGGACACGGGTGATGAATGCCAGCGCTCGGTGCCAGCCAAGCTCTGCTGAATGAGTAAATCCCGTGGGAGGTCTTGTCTGTTGTGCTAAGCATTTCATAGAAGCCAGGTGCAAGAGTCATCATTGCACACTGAGTCACTGCCACTGCAGATCTGGTATTACATTCGACTGAAGAGCTTTGTTTGGATCGCATTTTCAAACTGGTTATGCACAACAACAAATTAATGAGGTCTCAGTGTCTGTCAGATTAGTGCTAATGAAGCCTCTAGGCAAGAGACAGATCCTGCCACATGCCCTTCCCAGCTGGAAGAGTCTCCTTTCACAGCGAGGTATGGCTTCCCTGCATCCCAGCCTGGCTCCCCGGATGCCAGCAAGGTTTCCAGCCTTGTCCAGTCACCACGGCAGGAGACTTGTCGCCCCGGGTTTAGTGGCTAACCTGCTGTGCTGCTCTGGGCAGGCTACAGAACTGCCCGAGTTCCTCGTACGTAGGATGTGGTCAGGTAGTCAGGAATGCCACAGCAGTGATGCAAGAGCCTCGTTTGCTCTTAACCCTTTTTATTGTAGGCTGTCGAAGAACTTTTCCAAGAACTTCAGGAGATAAGGTGAAGGCAAACTGCTCCTGGATTATTCTTCCGGGTGGTGGTTGGGCTGGCGTGAGGGCTGAACCCTATAGAGAGGTACACATCAGATTCAGTTCTTGTCCATGCACACCAACACGGCACTTCTGGCTGGGAGGGACAGGGACAGAGTGTGACAATGTGACAGTGCTGTTGCCCCCAGTGCCCAAGCCCCCGGTATTCCCGAGGCTCTACCCAAACAGCCGATGTGCTGACATCCACTCGTCTCCTCCGTGCCACTACTTCAAACTACACGCTACCTCTTGTACTTCAAAGATGTGTCTTTCACTCCGACGTGGAGAAAAGGCCCAAGTATTAGCAATGTTTTTTTAATAAAAGCAATCCTGGCAGAAGCAGGGCCTGAGAGCGTCTTCCAGGATTTTTGGAAAAACATCATGGCTGTGGTTGTGACAGAGAGAGGAATGTGTTGTGAGAAAACAGACAGTTCAAGAGAAGAGTTCGGTAAAAGACACTCGAATTGAAAGAACTCTTTTCCTGTGTGTCTGAATTTTTCTAAATATTATCATTGAAACGTCAGGGCTTGAATAATTAAAGTGGTGTAATGAGATGTAATTGCCAGAGCTGCAAGGACAGTAAACATAACTGCGCCATTATCAGGACAGGCTGAGCTTCCAATGGTGCAACAGGTCAAACAGCTGTAATCACACCACTGTACCTGGAACAGGCTAAGCGAAGGGCCACGTGCAGGCTGAACATGAACACACTGTACCTCTGCAACTATAATTAGAGCAAGGCTGAAGGTTTGTAGATCCCAGGCACAAAGCAGGGTGAGAAAGCTTAAAAAAAAAAAAAAAGTAGTTGGAAGAAATATGAGTTTAATATTCAAACTGAATGCAATCATTAATGAACCGCGTATCTGGGATTGTTGGTGAAAACAAATAAGATGCTGTTAGGGAATAAAAAATGCAAGGTTTTAAGTTTGGTCAAGAACAGTCAACTGACAAAGCACAGATTGAGGAGCAAATGGGTAGGGAGCAGCGCTGCAGAAATGCTCTCGAGGTTGCAAAGTGTTTCAAAAAACCCCAAACTTCATACTGAGACAAGGCTATAACACAGAAGCTATAAAGTGCCTGAAGTGACTCTTCCAGTTTTCTTATATTGGCAAAACTTAGCTGGAGCTTCGAGAGTCTGGCTTGGGGCACCAAGCTCAGGAGAGATAAAACAGTAATCAGGCTAGAGGGGAGAGCCACGAGTACGATGGGAGTTCTAGAAAAACACGACTTACCAGAGAAGACTGCAGCAATGAGGGTGCGTGCTTTAGTGAAGAGAAACCTGACAGAGATAGGAGCCTTCAGAAACAAAGATGTTAGAGATTAATATGACATTCCGTTTCAGCAGAAATACTTTGGTTAGCCATTAGGGGAAAATCTTTCTAAAAATAAGGATAGTGATGCCTTAAACTAGATTGCCTGGGGACTGTAAATCTTTTTCAGAACCGATCAGAGAAAATATGGTCTGTAACGACAGAGATAAAATGAATCCATCTCTAGTGAGTGGGATGGGAGAGATGGCTTCTTGAGATCCCTTCTCATCTGTATTTTCAATGATCATTCAAAAGACAAGTGGTTTGTTGTTGTTGCTGTTGGGATTTTTTTTTTGTTATTGTTGGTTGTTGGGTGCTTTTTTTTGCTTTTTTTTTTTTTTTTGCTTTTTTTTTTCAGACTTGCTTGTTTGTCCATGCTATTCACTTGCTTCTTCACTTTGGAAATGGAAATCAGATTGTTCAGTCTCAGTCGGCACCGATTTCAGGTTTTTCTTGTACTCCGTAGCAACACAGCATGACTCTGTTTAAATTGCAAAGTTGTCAAGGCCAAGTTAAAAACTGTGTTAGTTAAAATAATACATTTGAAGCCGCACTCATCCTGGTCAAAATACACATCACTGGCTTTACATCAAAAGAGTTCATTAAAACAAGTCCTAAGTCGTGTGTCTCAGGTAATTCGTGTGGTCCCTTTGACACTTCAGAGAGACTTCTGCTTGGATGAAACCTGCAGTTTCAGTGGGACAAGCAAAGCAGAGTCAAGAATAAAGGCACTCGTATCCAGTCTACAAAGCCCTGTTCCAGCTCTGGCTTGCTGCAGGGAAAATAGGAGACTTGTTGCCATTTTCTGTCAACAACGTGGAGCTGCTCAGAGCCCATCTGAAACAGAGGATGTTGCAAAGGGATTTAAAGCCTGTCTGTGGACCCTTCAGTAAGGCAAACCCTGGCCAAGCTCAGCAGTTCAGGCCTCATCCTGCATCCACGGATGCCTTTGGTGTTTTCCTTCACCCAGTGGTTTTCCTTCACCTATGGCAGCAGAACCAAAGCCTTGAACAACTAATCCTGCTGCCTACGTCCCGGGAGAGTTAGACACCATTTGAATATCTTTCTGTCTCCGTGTAATTTTGCTTATTACTGAGAGTATTTTAGCTCGCCTTCAAATTATTTCAGCTTCAGTGCAGTGATCCTTGTTGCAACACGCTAAGGCTCTTGGCTCCAGAGCAAATGTCTTGTAAAAAGGATAAAGTGCTTCTACCTATTATGATTAATATTATTTTTCTGAGTGTGGAGGGCACTTTGGCTCCCCTTGCCCCAGGTTGCTACAGCAACACACATCTGTAAGGAGTCAGCCTTTTAATTGTGTCAATTAGGCTTACATAAGAGTACTTCAGCGATCTTCACGTTGTGGAAAGCAGAGTCTGAGGTCTGGCTGGAGATGAGCCTCGTGCTCCAAACACTAACAAAATGATTTTAAACTTCCTTCTGCTGTAATTGCCATGCTGTGTTAGTCATGGCTAGCAGGCAGCACCAGCGTCTCACCGAGCTGTGCAGGTTTGCTAACGTCCCAGATGGAAGGGAGCAGAAGAGATGGCTTCTTAAATGCATCCCTGCAACAGAAGAAATGAAAAGTGATCATCTATTTCATTTGCAATACATTATTTTACAATCAAGAACAACTAAATTAGGGCACACACCTGGCAACAATGCCAGATTAATGATTAATATTTTGCAGCTAAGTGGTGCCGAATTAATGACTGATATTTTACAGCTCTCCGCTGCTTTTCAAATAAAGCCAAGCCATGAAATACACACAGACGTTCACGTCAACAGCGGTGAAACTGCAGCAAACTTCTGACTGACACCTTTGACCAGAGCAATTCAAAAGCTGCAAGGCTGTATGGAAACTTTCCAGGCAACAGCAGTGCCTTTCTCATGTGAGAAAACTGTGCTGCCCTCCGCACAATAAAATTAAATGAAGAAGTTTGTGCTAACTAGCTGCTGATTTTATTAGCTCTACCCTCCCCAGGGCATTTCTGCAGCCCAGATCATTATGTGTGAATAACAAACACTTTCTGAAAACTTGTTCCAATTCAGAGGGTTGTCATTAAAACATTAGAACAAGACACTGACTTGCTGTTACATGACATTACACCACCACACTTGCCACATTCTGCTGCTGATTTGACTCATGGTAGGCGTTTGCTAGAGACCGGCCAGCCGAGTGCCATCCAATTGCTGTAATTGCTGCCTGAAACCTCCTGAAACAAAGAAAACGGTAACTTTAGAGTGAGACAACCACGTTAATTACCGCCTGTGATGGTCATATAATAACCTAACTGTCCAAACATAGCAGTGTGATCATCCAGACTCCATTCAACCAAAAGAAATGGGAAAGTTTCAAAAATCCATATGCCAGCTCTTCACAGATCGCCATCCTGTGTTGCAGTGGAAGTGCTGGAGTATTACTTCTGGGGTAAAGTGGCTGCCTCTTCATACAGTGCTTTCGGATTGTAGGAAAGTGTAAAAATGGTAGAAAAGTTTCTCCTTATTTAATTACTAACACGGTTACAGGGGGGACAACACAAAGTAACTCACAGTTGTGTGTGAATTCCCTGAATGGATGGATCTCAAAAAGTTTTTGTGTTAAGAGATTACAAAGTCCTACAGAGGAAAAAAGACAAGAAAATGGCCCCCTACATATGCCAAAATGCAAAGAGCAGCCACCTTTCATGACTTGCTGACTCCAGGATAGGGCACAGTAACTTGCTGTAGCTCTGCACCAGGCTGCCCACCACTGAAGCCTTTGGTTAGGAGCTAGGCTGTGCAGCTGGGAGCTCAGCTCCAGGAGTTGAGAAGTGGAAAACACCGAAGTGCACGGCTTCCTTGTGTTAAAGAGGGGGTGGGGAAGAGGCAACGTGGGGGAAGGAGGCGACCAGAGAAGTTCCCTAGCTTAGCGTCTCCAGTTTGAGCCTTGCCCTGCACTGATCTGCCTCCCAGGACTGAAGCTTTGCCACGCTGATGCAGAAAGGATTACTTCCCCCTGGTTTTTAGTCGTCAGTCTTACACCCTAAAGCTCCTTTAAGGTTCTCAATAATTCTTCTGTTTCTGCAACCAGAGAATAACCATAAATCACCCTTCTCCATCAGCACTTTTTTTCCCCTCCTGTGCTCTCTGAGGGTGTTTTGTCATCGATCGTGCCTGCCCTGCGACTCTTTTCAGTGTTTTAGCTGCATTTAATTAGCACGGCCATTTACAGCGCTCAGAATTGGACTCTGGACTGTTTGTGGGTTTGAACACAGTTGCTTTTTAAGCGGTGCTTGAGAAATGCTTTTGGATCCACACCACCAGAAAAGAAAAAAAAATAGGGGGAGAAGTGAAAAGCAGGGCTAAAAGCTAGGTGAAAAGCTAGGAATTTTGTTCCTCCAGCAGTGCTGTAACCAGTTATTATGGCTGGCTGGTAAGGGGCACTTTTGGGGGAGAACATTTCTACCTCCCTCTGCAGATGTCAGCACTTAAATCCCCTGAAGTCCTCCTGCCAGGTTCTGCCCAGACGTGTCCCCTCTCCTTGGCCCCCTAGATGAGACGAATCGCTTTGGCCAAGCAGAGCTGGGAGGGATTTTGGCTGAGGAGTGAGAGCAGCACCTGTAACACAGCGGGATGCTAGCTGCTGAAGTGTCCCTACCTGTGACATCTCTGCTTCGCAGCTTCCTCACGTGCCCGGGGCCAGGAGAGGGGAAAAAAAGACAAGGTTAAACATCAATTCTGGCACTCTCTTGCTAAGCTGAAGGCTGCCTGGTCTAAATAATGGGGACAGCCTCGTGCTTGCCGTGAGGGGCTTTGGTGGAGGAAGGAGAGAGAAGAGGATAGGTGAGGTGGTGAGGGTGCTCGCCATGCCGTATCACTGCCAGCAGATCTGTGGTGTTTTGCTCAGCTGCCCAGCAGCACGCTCAGCCCTGCAGGAGTTTGGAGCCTGGTTAAAGTTCCTGGACAGGTCAGGGGTTGGCCGTAATGAAGTGGGATCCCCTCAGGCCACTGGTTTTCTAAGCAACAGGAGGAGGAGGTTCCTGGCTTGCCTCTCGTGGAAGGGAAGTGCTGAGAGACGCCGCCAGCACGGCCTCTGCCAGAGTAACCAGGTTATTGATTATCCTCGGGGGGGTCAAGGCGTGGTACCCTTCCAAGTTGTTGATACAGACCCTATGTGGCAGGCAGCAATAGGAAAAAATGCCCCGGTTGGGTCTTGTTTCGGCAAAATGCCACTGGATGAGCTCCCTCGTAACTCAGGGCCTAGCACGGGGTGCTCACCATGCCAAGTTCTACCCTCTCCCGTGCCCTGCCGCACAAAGGCAGCAAGCAGCAGCACGCCTGGGCAGGGAGCAGGAGGCAGAGGGGGAATGGCAGAGCAGGGAGTGGTCCGTGCCCAGGAACACCGAGATCTGCTGCTCTCATCCCCTCTGTCTCTGGTGGCAAAGTGGAAACAGGCCTGGGGACGTTTCCCTGCTGGGACGGGTCACGTAGCACCCTGGGTTCCTGCTAACTTAGATATTTGTTAAATATAGATGCTAATAGCTGTTAAAATGACTTGGTTGAGGAACCACAAAGCATCAGCTACTCTTAGATGTGACCATCACAGGCAGTACACACGTTGGCACAGGAACGGAGCGACAGGACTTCAGAATCCAACCTACCAGCCTCGTGCCCTGGTTATTCAGTAGTGCTCCCTCCTGCAAGTTCCTAGAAAGGAAAAAAAAAAAAACAAAAAACAACAACAGGGAAATGTAGAGATCTCAGTGGAGCATGATAAGCTCCTGGAACAAGCTGTTCTCCCCTCCTGTTGCTTCTTCGCTGAAACTGCCTTAGAACACTCTCACCTTGCCACATCTCCTGTGTCACTTTTTCCCAGCCTTCCCAGGGACACATCCTAGTGATGCAATTTCCCATTATTCACCTTCCCTCTCTCCAGGTGCTGGTCCAGTCTGCAGGGGTCCAAGCAAAAAGACATAAACAAGAGCAACATTGACAACAAATGCATCTGCTTCCAACACAGCCGAGCATTTAGCTCTATCTTGACCCTGGCAAAACCACGTTTGCTTTGTAGATTCCACTGAAACCCTCATTATATTTGCGACTGACTTCAGCTGCGTGCCAAAGACCAGTTTGCACACCCCCAGCTTCCTCTCTCTCTCATCTCCCTCCCAACAGCTTCACAAGAATTGCAAACAAGAAGAGGCTGGCAACCTGTTGAAAGAACACAAAGACCTTGTCCTTGCTCGCCACAGCAACAGCACCGGTACCTGCCCATCAAGAACCTGTGGCTTTTCGGTTTGCATGTTTCTTGCTAACAGTGTTTATCCAGGTAGCACAGATGGGGCGTATCATTTGGCAAGCCTGCCTGTGAGCTTTTTACAACAAAGATGATAACAGGTGCAAGATAAGGGATACGCACAAAACCAGAGTTCATTACAAATACATTTGCATCCAGAGTAGCAGCAGCAGCAGGACTTGGCTCGACTTTATCTTAAAAGCATACACTTGGTGAATTCCATTCAAATGCTCACGTTATTTGCATCTGATATCACCCCGGGCAACAACATGGAACCAAGCTGTGTTTGTGTGGGCCTGTGCTGCTGCGCAAGGGCAGACAGATAAGTCATCTCTTCTCATGACAGAACTCAGCTTTTAGGGTGGCTCTGGAAAAGCTAGAGCCAAATCTCCACAGAGAGCGCACCATCCCCACAGAGAGCTGGATTTTCAAAGGATAACTAGCTAAGTAGGTAACTAGCAATGCCTCCTCAATTCTTGAAATCTTACTCTGATGTCAAAGTGGAAGCTGGGCAGTTACGTGCTAAGCTCTTGAAAGTTTGGCACTGAGTTCTGCTTCTGCCTGTTTGTGTGTTCAGAGAACGCAGTGCAGCTGTGGAAAGGCTTTTGGTCAGAGGATCAGTCACCTACAACCAGTAGAGAGACTGAGGTTAATCGGGGTGATCTGAGTGCTGAAGCTGTGCCCTTATTCTGAATTTCTCTCTACAAAAGTCCTGTTTTACTCCACTGGCTAAAAGGAGATAAGAGACTATCCTTACAAAAGATAGGTATCAAAAGGTATCATGCAACAGCAGTTGCATAACCCAAATACCCACTGTTTCATGCACAAGTTTGCAGTCTGAATCAGAAATAATTGGAAGCTGGCAATATCCAGCCTGTGCTTGATGGCATAGCTAAGGTGCGTTGACAGATCTACCCATGGGAGTAAAACTGAACCTCACGTGAAACTGCAGAAGGCTTGAGAATGTCAGATGAGCAGCAATTCCTCTGAGTGCAGTGGAGGGCAAAGTTGTTGGTGGATATGAAAAAAAAAGAGCCATTTGCTTTCCCCCTGTAGGACAGTCAGTTCAGTCCTGCAGCACACAGCCAGGGAAGCACACAGTGGTCCTCACACTTCATAGTTCTGAGACCTCTGTTGTCCCTTGTACAGCATCTTTTACAATCTTCTTTTGTGCTTGAAGCTAGGGAGTGAAATGGTAACAAGAAATAAACAAAGGTTTATGAGCACATTTATCTACAGACAAAACCACAAGAATTAAACATACAGCAGCAACAAAGATGAAAACTGCAACATCCTTTTGGAACTTTCTATCTACTTTGCAATTAAGGACTTAGAGGTTTAAACCACGTAAAATGGGAAAACTTTGTTTGAAAATGTCCCACTGCTTGTTACCACATGTGTGAGCGCATTATTCTGTGGCCAGGAGTGGAACGACTGCAGTTAGTCATGTCTTGTTAGTCATGTTTTGTTAGTGCACTCCTTTAAACAAAGATTTTTGGTTGAATATTTTTAGGAGTCCAGGTAAAAATAACTGCATGTGCCTGTTCATTGTGGCATGCAACTGGACAGGAAATACTGTTGCTATACTCCACCAAGATTTTTCCTTAACTCTCATACTGGAATGAATCCAGGAATATTCAGAGGAGGAAAATGAGAGAAAGAAAATATATCCTTGCTCATGCAAGTGCAGAGAATATACCTGAATATACCTGTCAGATCCCTTTTCTTATTTCTTCTCTCATCATTACATCTTAGGGGTGCTGGTGTTGGTATCCCATTTTCCAGTGAATACCTGAGCCTCCAGCCTACTGGATATGCTGAGGTGGGTCTCTTTCTCTCCCGTTCTTTTCTGTATGATCACTTTTTGGGTACAAGAACTTGAATAAATGTAGGCCTCCTGTATTTCAGACTGTTTGGCTATCATGAGAAAAACAAGGTTCTCTCTTTATCACTTATATGGTGACAAATAATATCTGGATGTTTTTAACAAGGGTTGGATATAACTGATTGGGATTTTCTGACCCAAAACCTTTTTTTTTTTTTTCCTCCAGAAACTCTGTAATACAGCAACAACTGACCTGTTTCTTCCTAAAGCAGTCATTGCTGTCACTAGCATTTCTGCCCAAGGATTTCAGAGTTTTATCTGAGGAATCTGCTGGACAAAAGAATTTATAAGTACACATCAGAGAGAGCACTATCTTTCAGCTTCTGAGAGAAGTTTTGGAAAAGGCCACGAAATGAGCTCTTTAATACAATTTTATCATTAAAAAATCATAGAAGCCCCTTATTAAGCTTTAATTTTCATATACAGTGTTAAAAGTAACTCCATAAAACATTAACTCCAATCATTATTTTCACTGCACTGGCAAAACAAAAGTCTAACTGGCTAGAACCAAAACAGACTTGAAGAAGCTTTTCAATAACTATACATGATATGTGAAATATTTGTTTAAAGAAAAAAAGAAAGTGTAATTTAATGAGAACAGTAAAGTACAGAATGGCAAGAAACAAATGCAGTGAACTGAGAAAGAGGTCAGGATTATTGTTTTTTATAAGATACCTGGTTAATTCTTTTCTTACTAAGGGTTTAAATCAGATTAACACCATTTTGGTTCATTCAGAGATTAACAAAAGTTAATATTTTATAAGATTTATTTATAATACCCTTGGGGTTTAGAGTATGTTTATGTAACCCTTCTGCCAGGAATTGGCAGCAGCTGAAAGAGCTGGATTCATTTATCTAGGGGTTCTCTCTGAAAACTTAAACAACAGCAGTTTCAGCCTCCACCCAGAAATCTACCAAAGCTAAATGACCTCCTTTGGGTGCCCTGACAAACAATAAATCCTGCTCAAGGCATAGCAAGGGTTTAAAGCAAGGTCCAGAGTTTCAAGACAAAGAGAACCTCAGAGCCGACGGAAAGAAGTGAGGGAAAGGGACGAAGAAAGACTCAGGGCAAACCCACAGGAGCCACTAATCGAGAAACCAAATAATGCTGGAGTGATGTTCCCAGCCTTCCTCTCCTCCTCTGCCCTTTGTTGTCTTGTCATCACACAAAATAAAGGCTTGCTCTCACTTCCAAACAGATGTCTTGTAACTCGAATGTCACTGCCCACTCAAAACCTCCCCCATATTTACTGTGTGGCTTCAATAATTTTCAGCTAAGCAAATGAACGTGGATATTACTGCCCCGGATCAGGGAGATCCTACTCACTTTCCAAATCACAGTCTCCTGATCGTGCCAATTCCCTGTGCTGGCATGTATCCTCACCTGACCACATAGTGAACTGATTCAGAGCACCAAACTGCTAGAAAACTTCCTCAAGAAAATAGCAAGCAGTGAATTTTTTGGTGTTTTAACCCCCAAAATCAGCTCCCTGTAGTATTAAACGAAGGCCAAAGCTGGCACTGGGGAGGAGGATGGCAAGGCTGGGGATGGAAAACTGCCCCGTTGCTATTTCTACTAATAACTACCCACGGGTTGGGCTGGCAAGGTTTTAAGATGAAATAACTCTTAAGCGTGTTGGTACTTTTGTTAATTTGTTAGCTTATCCTCAGGGAGGCCAAACTTTGAGGGCCAAACATGACTGTGACTACAGGACTAAAACGACCGTGTTGTGATGGGAGTTAGCTCTGCAGAGGGACCATATCCAGCACAAGCAGTGTCCCCCAGCCTGCACCTGGAATTTTTTAAGGTGTTTTTTGGCGATGCCAGCCCTATCCCAGTGTGTCAGGGCTCCCTTGTCCCCGTGTTCATGTGCCACTGCTGTGTTGTGCTGTGCCGGCTCCCTTGCCCGAACATGTCCTGGGGACAAATATTGCTGTGCCCAGCCCGTCAGAGCTTGGGACTGCGCCAACGGGGTATTTTTATCATTCAGATCCCTCAGATTCGTAGGGTTTAAATACGTGAGTGCCGGGTTTTCCGGATTTTTTTTTTTTTTTTTAGAGGGGAATTCAGCTCAAAGCGATGCCAGCGGCGCCCGCCCCGGGAGCCGGGGTAAACTGAGGCCAGGGCGGCGCCGAGGAAGCCATTTGCAGGACAACAAAAGGCTGCAGGGCCAAAAACCCCGGACCGAAATAAGGCATTCTTGGGTGCCATCTACCGGTACTTTCTCCTTTCAGCACTTTTACACCGGGGCCGCCTGCGACCCTTCAGCACTTCACGGAGCCGCGCTCCCCCTGGGGCTACCTCAGGGTCCTGTCCCAGCGCCTCTAAGCTAAGAGGGCGCGGGACCCTCACTGAGGGAATCGTTTGGGGAAAAAAAAAATCAACTCAACCCTCGAGCCCTGTTGGAGGAGCTGCCATTTTACAGAGGGCTCACCCCCGTTGCGGGGTGAGGAAGGGGCCGTCCCCCTCCTGCTTCGCGGGCCGGGGTGAGCGACAGGAGGGGCGGGGCGGCAAAATGGCGGCTGCCGCCATGGCGGTGGCGGGGCTGAGGCAGGCACCGAGCCACCGCCTGGTGAGGGCGGCGGGGGCCCTGGGCGGGCAGCCGTGGCTGAGGGAAGGGAGGGCGGCTGTGGCGGCGGGTTGGAGCCGGCCGGAGCCCGGGGGAGAGGTGCAGTACTGCGCCGAGCTGCTGCGGTGAGTGCTGGGGAGGGGGAGGGGGAGGTCGGGCTCCGCCGCCCGCCCTGCCCGCCTCATGGGTGGGGAGAGCCGGGGAGCCGGCCCCGAGCCCTGAGGGGGACCCGGCCCCGGGATGGGGATGAGGAAATCCTAAGCTGAGCCGGCCCCTTTCGTTGTGGGGCTGCCTTTCTGGGGGCCGTGCGAGGTCCTGAGGTGCCCCGCGGAGCGCCCGGGCCCTGCTCCTCTTGTGGTGTTTTTCCCCTTCGGTCATATCGGGACCGCAAATAAAAGCCCGCGGTGGATAAATATTGGGACTGCAAGGCTCATTAAGTCTGTAAACAGTGTTATTATTGTTATTTTTTTCTTCCTTCTTTCACAGCTGCTTTTCTTCCTGAAGCATTGAGCATTTCCATTTCGTTGTTTGAGATTACGGAGTGAAAGATCATCAACACGGGCGTTTAAAAATAAGCAGGAAAGGTTTCAGGTCTGGGTTGCTGGGAAGTGGTCAAACTTTCCAAGGACTCCTTGGAAGAATGAGCAGAGGAAATCCCCCAGCTGGACAGACCTGAAGTAGCTGCCCTGACCTTAAAGTATTTCTGGTCAAAAACCAGAATATTGGGCCTTTGGTCAAAGCCCAAGGGGCAGGAGCACAGCCTGGCGGCTTTCAGGTCAGGGACGCTTCCACTTGGCTTCTGGAGCTGCAAGCGATGTGCAATGCCCTCTGCTTGCTTCCTAGTCCCCGAGAGTTCAAAGGTAGAGTTAGAGAAAGAAACCCACCTGCTGTGTAAAGACTCCTGGTTTCTATTTGCATACTGTAGTTGTTGATGAAAGCAGAGAGAAGGCTTCCAAGTGTGTATGGAAGGAGCGGAACAGGATGGTCATCTCCCAAGTGACAGCTGTAAAAGACACAAAGTCACTCGTGGTCAGCAGTAATGGTTGAAGTGGGACAGCTAATGGAGAGAAATGTGACAACCTTACATTTTCAGTGAAGCAGCAAGCTGCAGACCTCTTCAGGTGCCTCAGTGTGCACAGCCAGGCTGTGGTTTAGTTAATAAAATTAGAGATTGTGGCTTTGTTTTCGTGGTTACTCTGCCCAGGGTTTACCTGTTACTCAGGAGATCAAAGGCTGAGTGTACTAGCCATATATACAGTTGAAATATTTTCAGTAACAAACAACTGTGAACAGAATAGTTAGGTCCCAAGTCACCGAAGCTAAGCTGGTTAGCATTTTCTGTTGTTCTTATTAAACATTTTTGTTGTTTTAATGTTATATTAAAACATAAAAAAAAAAAAAAACTTACAAAAATACATGAACGTTTACAGTAGCAAAATGAAAAGTGGTTATGCTTTTGGCATCATGTAATTGAAGCTGCAGTTCAAATAGGTCTTTTAAAACTCACTTTAAGCTGTTTGATTCAAAATATTTTTCTGTAGTAGATATGTTTTCCCAATTCTTGCTGTTGATGATGTCTGCTCTGGAAGACAAACTTAAAACCTGATGATGTTGCTCAGTTTTACAATGTGGAAGAATTTCTGAAGACTCTAAACTTTTAATTACACTGAAAGACCAGTAACGGTCATAATAAAATTTTCCTACTGTGGGTTAATATGTAAGCTTATATTTCTTTGAGAGGGAAACTATGAAACACTAAATAGCAGGCTACCTGAAGTTCCCTCCTTTCTTTATTCCTTACCCTAACACACACAGAGAGTTGGATTGCAACATGATCTGCACCACTATGAACTTTGTTTTGCATGCTGAGGCTTTGCTGAAGGTTCCAGAAAATTTGCTTTTCTTCTGTTATATCCAAGGGGGCACTGTCAACATAAAATTCACACTTTTCTGTGTTTTCTTTTTTTTAAACTTTTTTTCTGGTACCTGCAATCTTTAAGTTTAGGGTAATTGGAAGAAGATTACCAGAGGGAAGACAAACACCTCCCTTGTGCTGCTGTTTGCTTTGTGAAATGTATTTTCAGGAGGTAGTGGTGTTTCTGTGTTGTGTGAACAACCCAGGCAAGCAGCATCCCTGGGACTTGGAAAAAGTGGCTGTAAACCTTGCAGCTCTGCCCAGGTTGGGCAATACTGGGTATTTTTACAGTCTGTTTAGGAAAAAAAAAATGCTGGATTTTGAGCTGATTCAGACTCTTCTTTTCAGAAAGAGTCTGAACTGGGGGAGGTTTGATGCATCTGTTGTTTATTATGAATGTGGCCTTTAAAGCCTGCTAAAATCCACAAATGCTGTTTTCACGTTGATGCTTGTGGCTTTGCATCAGGAAAACAAGTTTCACGAGTATTAAGAAAACTTCTAAGCATTTGCTAGCTATCAAGCTGCTGTGTGTTGTAGGGGTAAGAAACCAGTACATTTCATTTCCTTTTTGTTTGCTAAAAGTAGCAACCCTGATTTTAACCTCTAGTTTTAGTTGTGTTTTTTTTTTTTTTTTTCTAAACCTCTGGTTTTATTTATTTATTTATTTATTTTGCTGTTTTAAGCCGACATTCAGAAGAAACAGGAGGACATTTAAGAACGGCAGACTTGTTGAAAATGAGTAAATGTTTAACTTGACACCTACTTCTGTGTTCTGGAGGCATTGCTGCTTTTCTTCTAATGAAGAATTGAGTTGCAGGTTTATCAGAAGGTACACAAACACTGTTCAAAACAAGCAGTTTGCTTTTGGTCATTACAGTTATGAATGATTTTGCGATTTATAATCGTTCTCTACGTGCCCTGATTGTTTTTAATTTAATGGCACACCCAAGTGGTCAAATGAAAGCATATCACTTCGGGTTGGCAGTGAGTTACCTGCTGTGAAGCTGCTACTGCAGCACAGAGTTTTTATGCTTTTAGCAAATAAGAACTTGGTGGTTAAGCAGGTATGTTCATGCCAGGCCCCCCAGCACAAGCTTTTAAAGAAACTTGACTTCATGTTTAGAGCAGAAGCCTGGAGGTCAGACAATCTGGATTCCATTTGCAGTCCTGCCACGGGTTTGTTCCATGCCTTCAGCCAAATACCTTGAGATCTGGATCTGAGAGGTGTGTTGAGAGTTCAGCTTGCATCCCCCCTGTCTCAGAGCTTGCCTGATTTTAAAATAAGCTTAAAAGCTACTACTTCTGCAGAGTCAGAGTGTTGAACTATAACTTTCCTTCTCTTTTAGGAGTTCCGTGCTAAGCAATAGCATGCCTGATTTACATGGTGCTATAAATAATGGGTGTATTTTCTTTCCTTTTTATAGAAAGCGTGACTACGAAGGGTTTCTGTGCTCTCTGCTGTTGCCTGCGGAATCGCGAACCTCTGCTTTTGCTTTAAGAGCCTTCAATGTGGAACTGGCTCAGGCAGGTATTAAAATACACTTGTGATCTCTGGAAATGTGAAGGAACAGTTTCGGGACCCTAAATTACACTAGTAGCTGGCATTTTGCTGAGATTTAGCTCTTCATACTAGAAAGGGCAATGAATAAAGAAGCCAATACAAATTTCTGGTTTGGAATGGCCCTTGGGGAGCAGCCAGCTTCCCCCAGTTTCTTCTGCTCATGTATGTAGCTTTTCTGACTTGTTGATGCCTTCATTTTTGAAATGAAGTGTTAACAAACAGGCTGATCCTTGCGACTATGATGTAACTGCACCTGTGTCCTGGCTTGAAATGCAGTGGTTGGGTCAGGAAAGTGTAACTAGCCCCTGTGTTAAAAGGTCAATCAAAAACCTGAATGATGTAACCCGTCCCAGGTCTTTCCTGGCAGGAGTTAGGTAAGGGAAATGCTTCCGGGAGGGAAGTTTGGAATTGGAGAGCTGTGGGAGGGGAGTGGCTGCACCCTCCCACTTCTGCAGGGCGGCCAGAAACTGCTGGGGCAACCACAACCGTTGGCAACCTTTGCCAGGAAGGAGCAGTCCCAGAGATGTGCTGACCCAGCAAACCCCCCGGGTGCAGCCTCTGCGGGTTGTGCTCCTGGCAGCCCTCGCAGGGCTTTGCTCCCTCACCACTCTTATCTCTGCTTCTTCTCCCAGGAGAAGAAAACCAAGGTGGGAGCTGTCCAGAAATTCATTTCCATGGGTTTCAAAGTCGGGTTGTGGTGAAGGTTTCATTTTTATTTACTCTCTGCGGTGTTCGTATGGTTTGCTAGGGGTAACCGTAAATTCTGAGCCCTTCCCCTAGTGAGTTTGACTGTCCTGTGTCTGTCTTTCCAGTACAGACAGACCTGAGTGCCTTAAGGAGGCTGTGAATTTCACTCCAGGTATATCCTTTCCAGATCAAGGACTCCATAACTCAGAAGACCACCGGTCTGATGCGAATGCAGTTCTGGAGGAAAGCTGTGGAAGATATATACTGCGATAACCCACCCCATCAGCCAGTTGCTGTAGCACTGTGGAGGGTAAAATACATCTTTATTGTCCCAAAATTCACTTGAGCAGATTATTGCTCTGAGAAATAATTCTATTGCTTTGTGTCTGCTGCGTTGCATTGCTGACAGCTTTATTTTATGTCAGACAGGTAATGTAAAGGGTATGTATGTCTGTCTGTGATGTTGTAAGGTACCTACGAACAGAGCTGGAAGAGGAGAATATTTAGGTGGGACCTACCTGGAGACTTCTGTGAACTGACTGCTTTTTTTCTGCTGTTTAGGAGAAGGGCAAAGGAAATTGTGGTAGACTGAAAGCTGATAGCAAGTGAAATGTATAAGTAAACTTCCCTGAGCTAATTCTAGTCCTGCCTGAGGAGATAAGTTTAAAAAAAGGCAGGAAACTCAGCACAGAGGTTGATCTAGCAAATAGTGTATGAGGAGAAGCCAAAGCTTTTCCCCTCGATGCTGATTCAGCATCACAGAATAATTTAATTTTTAGGGGCCTCTGGCTGTCAGCTAGTCCAACTTCCCACTCAGAGCAGGTCAGAATTCAGTTGGTAGCTATCAGGTGTTCAGGGTCATGCTGAGTTTAACTTCTAAACATATGCAAGTTCTGTAAGGCCTCTGTAAGATCAGAACTTGTGTTCAAAGTAGGGATCTCTGAGCTCCTGGACTGGAAAAGCTGAATTTTGTCTAATGCGGGGTTAGAACAACACAGTTCTTGTGGGGTTGGAGCGTTTCACTTGTTGCCATCTTGGCTTCACATCCGTGGTCTGCTGTACCTCTGAGAGCACGAAAATGAGTCCTTTCCAAATCTTTAAATGAGTTTTAGCAGTGCCGAAACTGCGGCCTGTCCCTGATTGTTCCTCCTTCAAATGTGAAATAAAAATAAGCGAGCCTTTGTTCCTGTCTACCTGCGCTCAGGTTAAAATTGGATTTAAACAAGGTGCTGTTTGTTTAACTAAGAGAAAAGCCAGGTAAAGCCAAGAAGTAAAATAAAGGAAGAACACCTGTTACAGGCACTTTCAGGAAGACCAGAGCTATTCATAAGCATCTCCAGCTCATACAAAATCTGTGCTGTAACAAAATGTTTGTACGGCTAGGATGAAGACTGGCAAATGTTGCGAGCCGTTTTGCAAAGTTACAGGACTTAGAGTATCACCCTGGCTGGATCTTTAACACAAACATTAAAATGCAGGATTGGTAGTTCTGCATGTCAGTCATCTCTGTGCCTTTTTTTTTTTTTTAATTCTGTCTCCGTTCCAGCCTATGGCAAACTGCCCGGGAACAAGATGGTTTTCTCCCCAAATGCCTTCATCTCCTTTCCAAGGAGGAACTTCCTTATGTGCAGCTTACTTTTGTTTCTGAAGATGTCCTCTTATTTAATTGTCTGAGTAGTTTAGGTACAAGTCAGTTTTGTGTATGACTGTATATACTTTTTCCATCACTTTTAATTTCAGGCTGCTTGTGTGTCTATCAGTGGGGGCAGAAATGTTCATTAGCTGAAGCTCAACTTAGAAAAAACATCCTTCAGATATAAACCATCCAGATAGCGAGATACAAATTGCAGCCCTTTGCAGCAGCTCTGACAGTCGTAGTCCTTTCTCACAGAGCAGAAAATTGATTTTGAAGTGGAAGAAAGAAATGGCCCATCTCTCTGGTAAGAATTGACCTTACGTGTGATTTCTCTGAAGGCAGACCAACAAGAGGCAATCCAAACAGAATTGGTTGCGAAATAACTTCTGAATTATTTCTCAACAGCTTATTTTTAGAAGCTTTGTTACCTCTGACCACTGCAGAACCCTGTAACAGGCTGACAACACAGCCTGCCCTGGTGACTTCTGTGCTCGAGAAAATCCTCTCTCATATTTCTAAATCATATTTCTGTATTTCAGCAAATGCCCAAGAATGACCTGTTTAAAGAGTGCAGCTTCACAAATCTCTGTGAATATCATTGCATTTCCTAGAAAGTAATGTTGGGAAATAGACTGGCTGAACTCTTCAAGTGTTGCAGAGCTGTTAATAGAACAAGCATGCCTTTGGCACAGCATTTTTTATGTATCCTGTGTTCTCACTGTTGACTTTGTATGAAGACAGCTTTGATTTTCCAGGAAAAAAATGCTAATTCATCACATTAAAAGTTTTTTTTTTTTTTTAAAAAAAAAAAGTTCTGTATATTCCAGAATACTTATATTTGGATTCTGAGAGTTTTATGCCAGTAAAGTGTATAAATAGGCTATAAAAATATTTCTAGAATTATTAATAGCTCAACTCTCAGTGACTTTCATGTAATCCTAGATAGCAACTATATATTTATATTTTTTTTTCCTGCTTCTATGTCCATTTTGAACATAAGAAGAGCCTAATTCTTCATTTCTGTTGCAGTTATTTTTGAAAACTTGAAAAATGAGGGTGTGTTTGGATGACAGTGGTTCAGAATAGATATAATGTGCAAATTGAGCAGAACTCAGTTTGGTTCTTTAACTCTTGACCTTCTGTGGCCGATTTATTTGCAAAATCGTATCTAAGGTGAATGAGTAAGAAGCAAAACTGAGTTGCAGATGTAACTTAATTTGTCCTTTTTTTTTGTCCCTGGAGCTTTCTCAAAGCAGAATTTGTTGAATCAGCAGTAAGATCTAAAATAAATAAATAAAATCTAAAAAATATCTTTCAACCTTCAGAATGCAGTACTACCATAATTTTATATACATAAACATGAATGTTTTCTTTGATATTTTTCAGGCTGTCAAGAGGCATAACTTGACTAAAATGTGGTTCACGAAGATCATTGATGAAAGAGTAAGTATTTAGCACTCAAAGTCTGATTCTGTTTTCAGTCACATTAGAATTTCTCCCCTTAATTTTATGAGTTTGTATGTAAAAACGAGAGCTTAAGTAATTAATCTTTTCCAGACAATGGTACTTCTCCTGAGAATGGTACTTTCTAATTTCCTTTTAATTCTTCTTTAGTGCTCTTACTTATAATTTCTGCCCGTTCTGGCCAAAAAGGCTAATAGGATCCATGTAGAATTTTAATAATGTAGCTTGTGAGTCTACACCTTTCTTGCTCTCTGCTCTGATAACCAGTGTATCTGTGCCCATGATTTCTGTTGTTGGCCTCTGTTTGTGATTTACAGTGGTTTCCCCCACTGTAAATCCATTGTGACTTATGCTGGGATACCTTTCTGTGTGTGAGGGAAGTCCTACCAGATGAGATTAAACAGTAAGATCTTCTTATTCACCTGTTAAGAAGTTTGGAAAACTGCATTTTATTAGAAAAGGAAACGAAGATATAAAAGAAGCAAGCCTCATTCATAGTCTGTTTTTGTGCCATTCCAATCCTGCCCCGTTCATTGGCATCTTTTTATTCTTTCTCACCTCTCTTATTACCATGTAATTTTGCCCCTAAATAGGCTTTCTCTTATGATGAGTCCTGGAAATAAAACCTCAAAATTGGAATGACCCCTTTGAACCTTTCTGCCACACTTTGCTGCCTATTCCTCTTGTGGCTGTGGAGTTTTTGCTGAACAGTGCTGTAAATCAGAACATTAAAATAGCAGCAACACTCTGCGAGTCATTGACTGAAAGGCTTCAGAGTTTTTAAATCTCAAAACTGGTGTATTTTAACCACAGTAGCTACTAGGACAGGAAGAATGATGGAGGGTGTTATATTTTTGGGGTGTTTGCATACAGCTTTGAAACTCGTGTATTTGATGGATTGCTTTTTGCGTGTGTGTGCATATTCTAAAGAACATATTCCTGTTTATCTAAATTTCTCTCTGTTTCAGTTTCTAATAAAGTATTAAAATGGGCACCTCTCTATCACTTTGTTTTGGCTGTATCTTTTCTGGAAAATTCTGATGTCTTTCTTGCAGAAGGTTATAATTGCTCCAGTACCTGGACTTGGCTGCAGCTGCATGTAGTTTTTGGTAGAGTAGCTACAGGTTTTAATGCCTGTTTCTACCTGAGTGTATATTCCATTTATCTCTTAATTTGTCCTTTGTTTCAAATAGTAAATTAGTCTAATGTGAGTACGATAATAAACTTGCAGAAATAGCAGTTATATCTTCTTTTTACTGAAGGTTTGCGTTCAAATTGCAGGAGAAGAATTTGGATGACAGAGCCTACAGGAACATCCAGGAGCTTGAGACGTACGCTGAGAACACGCAGAGCGCTCTCCTGTACCTCACTTTGGAAATGCTGGGTAGGTGCAGACCCTTTTTAGGTCTTGTTGATGACTTATTAGTGCCGGTATGATATTTATTGATGTTTCAAGGCAAACAAACAAACACTTTTTTTCCACCAAGGTTTAATTTCAGTAGAATTTGTCAATTCAGGCACCATCTTAATGTTCAGCCGTAAACCCGGAATCTTAACTGCCCCTCTCCTAACACTGTGCACTTTCCTGAGCAGCCGTTCAATGGAAAGTTCGTTGAAAATGTAGTTTCATACATTGTTCTTTCTCTTAACAATGTCTTCTATTTTCTTGTCCCTGTTATGGAGTGTGGTAAGTTCAGCTCTCTCCTGCATTTTCTGATTGTCCCACGTGGCAGAACACAAAGTGCTGTAGCTACTCCGCAGCTACTGTTCTGTATTGCTGTGATCTGTGGTGGCTGTCCTGGAACAGTTGACTTCCAAACCTGTAAGATTCGCTTGGGAATGTTGCAAATTTGGGTCTGAATCCTTGCAGCTTCCTAAATGTAGATTAAATATCAGTGCTTAGGCTGAGCGTGAGTCATTAACTCTTATTCTTTGAGACTTTTTTTTCTTTTCATTCCTAGTTATACGCAAAGCCTGAGTTGCCCAGTCAGTAAGTTATACCTATTGGTTCCTCCAAGCCCCAGTCTGCTTTCTGCTGCCATTGCCACAATAAATCCATGTAATTTTCCTACGTCCTCATGAACATAGGCAGTTCTATCATGGATCAGTACGCTCGTTAGCTGAATAGTTAAATAGCGCTGTAATACACATCAGGAAGACCCCTGAGAAGGCCTGGCAGTGTGTTTCTAAACATTATTTCTGCACTTTCAGGTGTGAGGGACATCCACGCCGACCACGCAGCCAGTCACATTGGGAAAGCGCACGGCATAGTTACCTGTTTAAGAGCAACTCCCTACCACAGCGCAAGACGAAAGGTCGTTCTTCCCATGGACATTTGTATGTTGGTAAGAGAAAGGAGCTCCCTGGATCTGAACAATAAAATGTTTCAAATAATTGTCTCAACGCTAGATAGGTCATACTTCGTTAGCACAGAGATTTCATGCCAAAAAAAGGGGCAACGAAGCTGGGGTCTTCTCCCAGGCACCAGGTGGTAAGACGAAATGGCCTCAAGTTGTGCCAGGGAAGGCTAAGGTTGGATATTAGGAGAGATTTCTCCACCGAAAGGATTGTGAGGCATTGGAACAGGCTGCCCAGGGAAGTGGTTGAGTCACCATCCCTGGAGGTCTTCAAGAAACGCGTGGATGTAGAACTTTGTAGAATGGTTTTAGTATGAGGTTAAAGGTTGGACTTGATGATCCTAGAGGTCTTTTCCAACCTGTATGAAACAGAATGCCTTTCTTAATCTGTTCTTACAACAGTTTCTGCTGTGGCCCTGTAATACCCATTTGTCATGGTTTTATATCTTCTGGGGGGAGAGAGGAGTGACTTTCATGAAACTCCAGGGTGATTTTGTTCCTCCCCCCTTTTTTTTTTAAACTTGTGTTCAATCCGGTAGTATTTTAGCTTTAAGTAGTCTGCAAAAGGCACAGACACTGAAGTAGGTTGGGTTTATGGGGTTGCAGAAAGGAGCTGCTCCCTGCTTTCAGCCCTTCTGGGACTGGGTGGTACGGGAGGCCTTCCAAGTTCTTTGGTTTTCAGCCAGAGCCTGAAAATTCACAGTCATCCTTGCTGGGGAGGGTGTTTTACAGTGATACTGCGTAGCTAAAGATCAGGAGACTGGCAGACAGCTTGCGTCCCTTCTGTGCAGGCTGAGCATCCTGCAAGCATTTCAGCTGCTGGCAAGTACTGCGGAGTTACACTTGAAGCTGTACCTCCTGTGGAGCCTACCTGCCTGCCTTTGTGCAGTTTTCATGTCTGAACGTTGCAGAGTTCATGCAGAAAAAAACAGTGCCAACTGTTCTTTTTGTTCTCTTGATTTTATTTTATTTTCTAAGTGACCAAAAAAAAAAAGGGGGTGGTGGTGGTGCAGGGAGGAGGCAGCAGCAAAACACACTTCGGCTGAAAGGGCCTTATGCCTGCAGTTTGGTTGCTGGGCTGGGCTTTTGAGGTTTCTTATCTTTTGTGAAGCTAAAATGGAGACTTTGATATTTGTTGAAGGGTTTTTACTTTTTGATTTTCCTTCCTGTGTCTAGCATGGCGTTTCACAAGAGGATTTTATAAGAGGCAAGCAAGAGAAAAATGTGAGAGATGTCATTTATGACATTGCCAGCCAGGCCCATATTCACCTAGAACATGTGAGTTTCCTTTTTTTTTTTTTTCTTTCCAATAAACATAATTGATGCTAACCTTTTACAAAACATTGTGAATGTGTTGTTAGAAGATTTAGAGCTGCATCAAAGGGCTGGAGATTGTTCAGCCTAGAGAAGAGAAGGCCCTGGGCAGACCTTACAGCAGCCTGCCAGGGCCTAAAGGGGGCTGCAGGAAAGCTCAGGAGGGACTCTGTGTCAGGGCGTGTAGGTATAGGGCAAGGGGGATGGCTTTAAACTGAAAGAGGGGAGGTTTAGATTAGATATTAGAAAGAAATTCTTTACTCAGAGGGTGGAGAGGCCCTGGCACAGGCTGCCCAGAGAAGCTGTGGGTGCCCCATCCCTGGAGGTGCTCAAGGCCAGGCTGGATGGGGCTTTGGGCAACCTGGGCTGGTGGGAGGTGTCCCTGCCCATGGCAGGGGCTGGAACTGGGTGGGCTTTAAGGTCCCTTCCAACCCAAACTGTTCTGTGATTGTGTGATACTTTATTTCAAATATTTTAAGCTTAGTTACTTTGAGAGATGTTCAAATTTAAGGAAAAAAAGAAACACAAAACATTTAAATATTTTACAGCTACTTCTGTGTGAATACGATATTTATCTGTCTGTACAGATGTAGAGGAGACAGTTTTCTCACTGCCAGGTCCAGTTGCATGTATATAAATACTGCCTCAAAGCCTTACTGCTGGGAGAGAAACTTCCAGCAGACTTCTATAAGTGCAAGAATACACCAGCATGGGATCAGCACCGCAGGAGGCACTGGTGAAGTACCATCTGCACAGCGCAGTGGGATGGCTGCCAGGAAAGCAGGGCGCGTTGGCTTTAACTGCTGCTTAGTGTGTGGGGAGGGAGGATTCGTTCCCCAACTTGGCCAGCTGTGCTGAAATAATTATAGTATTTTCCTCAGTCCAAGGAGGAGAGCCCTTCGTTCCCATTTTTCTGAAGGTAAAATGGGGCATCCCTCGTTTGTTCCATGAGTTGTAAGCTAGTTGAGGTTTTTTGTTGTTGTTCAAATGCAGTTAGTTGAGTAATTCTTTTTGTCACAGATACACGGTCTCAGACATTACTTTTAATACAGACTATTTATAATTAGGTGCATTCCTGGTCATGTTGTTTCACCTGCTGTCTCTGGTTTTGCTGGCACATGCCCAAGGAAACTGTTTATCCCATTTGAGAAGCAGAAAACAGAGGAAGAAAATGCAAGGTCACAGCTGCCCGCTATCTTTGATATTTAAGCTGAAACCTTTTGATTTCAGCTCTACCTGCAGTGCATGCTGTAAAAAACTTGTTGAATCGGATTGTGATTGTGGTTACAGAAACACTGAGCACCTGGCCTGAAATGCCTCGTATCAGTGGTGGGAGGCAAGGAAAATAAGCAATGTGTAGCTGCTGTCCAGCTGCTTAAAACTTGTTTGCTGGTATTGAGTGGAAATTTGGGGACAGAAACAGAGATAATCCAGTTCTTTAAGGCAGTTCTTTAACTAAGGCAGAATCTGAGTTCTTTTCCTTCCCACCCGATTCCCCAAGCCCTGCCCAAATGCACACCAGGAGGTTCCTATGGAAATATGCGATGTGATTGTGTAATTGAAGACTATAAAGAAATGTATGAACAGAAAGAAAACAGACTAGGGCAATAATTAGCGTTTTATTCAATTGACTATTGGTCTTGGCACCCTCTCCCCATCCTTTTTTAATAATCTTAATAAAAAAAAACTCCTCGCTGAATACTTGCCCCAATCTCCATCAGCATCAGTGAGAAATAATGGGCGGTGGGGAGTCTCTAGAGGGTTCAAACTACTTGAGACTGGCGTTAAGAGGCAGTAATAGTAGGGTATTAGCCTCATTAATGATCAGATGGTCTTTGTTAATGCAAAGATAAAGATACTTTCTCCCCTAATGGACGAAATAGGCATTTGCAGGCAATGTTTTCTGGAGATTTCAACACTTGGGGTGAAAGTAATGGGCTAGTGCCTTGAAATGTGTCTATTCTGTGGGATTTGGTTTTGCTTAAGGAATTCTCAGCCACTACCCTCTGCCTTGGTTGGAATTATGGGGGGTGGTGAAGCTTAAACCTGCAGAGAGCTTAACCAGCTCAGAATTAGACACGAGCTACACGTTTGGAGGCTGAAGATAAGTTATCATCTGTCTTTCACAGTCAGAAGAAACAATCTCAAATTGCTAAATAAGTCTCAGGGCTATTAGATGAAGCATATTGTAGGAATACATGTATGACACTTGATCTTGGGAGAAAAGTTTCTGAAGCGTGGTCAGCTCTTCCTGAGACTGCTGCCAATGACCAGCAGAGGGCAAAGTAAGATAATGAAGATTGCACTTTTCTTTAGGACTTTGGTGTTTTATTAGAATAAAAGCATATAATAAAAGTGCTGTGTCGGTCCCACAGTGAACCCTTTGAAATGTACTAGCAGGCTTTACTCGTTCCCCCTTTTTCTCTTAAGCAGTGTCTCCCACATTCCTCTAGGATGGTCTCCTATGCTTTTTATGATAAAAGATAAATGCAAAAAGCATTTATCATAATTTATCGCAGCTATGCTATATCAGTTTAGCAGGGAAGATAACATGCTTTCTAAATGGCAATCATACAAACCCATTCTGAATTAAGAAGATCAAGCAAGATTACTTTTTTTTCTTCATCTCACAATTAGTAAGCTAGAATATAAGATCAAGGAGCATAGTTTTCCTTTTATATATATGCACGTTATTTCATCTCAAAGTTTTAAAATAATTTGCCCTCTGAAAAGATTCAGTATTTTTCCTTCCTAAAGTTTCAGCCATGATTTCTCTAGAAGAAATCTAGAAAATTAACAAACTCACACATACTCATCAGTGTTTGTGAAGGGCTTTTTTGTTTGTTTTAGTAAAAGAAAGGGCAAAACTAGAAGGGACTCGCTATGTATAAATAAGCACTATGGAAGGTTTGCTTCAGTTCTGTTAGAGGTAGCTGAGTCGTACGTGTGTTTAAACTGTAGATCTGATTCAGCTGTGGTTTAGGCTGTTTACACACAGACACTGAGGACCTGAGGCACAGACTGAATACTTTCAGAGTGCCATGAATATGAATGAAGCATAATTGAAGTTCTGGGACCGATGGTAAGGCTGGACCAAAAAGGTCCAGAACAAAAGACTCAGAGAAAGGCATTCCTTGTCTTCACTCAGTTCTGTCCCTTGGGATGCAAAGAATTACTTGGTGGGGAAAAAAATCGCTCTGCCACATCTATTAAATCAGATGCAACTTGGAACTTTGTAGGAGTGAGGGATGCTAATTTACATTGTTTTATTATTTATTACGTAAACTGTAAGGTTGTCAAAAGATGAAAGAGTTGTAGCAGGCGTCTCCCAGCATTACATACGTCGTGTAATTACTTTTGCATAGGGTGAGGGATGTGAGGGATGGTGCTGGCTTGCACGTAGTGAAAAATTACAGCTTCAGTATGTCAAAGTAAGCAGGGACAAAGCTCATTCTGTTGGCTCTAAATCCATACGGAGTAATTGCTGTTTAATCTGAAACGTTAAACTCTCCTGATGAGTTGTTTTTGTTTTTGTTTTTCCCCTCACCTTACCCCATTTACTTTCAGGCTAGATCTTTCAGGAAGAAAGTCCCTGCGAAAGCATATCCTGCTTTTTACTGTACGGTGGGTGTGATATCGTGCGCTGGTGAAACGCCGGCCTCGGTTTTGTGCTAGTGTGTTTGTGAAGAGGAGAGCACCACGTTAAACATTGCTAACTAATGCTTCACGTGGCTATGGGAGAATGTGAATCCTAAACCTCCTGAAAGTCGTAATGTTCCCTTCTGTGGAACCTCGTAGCTTTGATCAATGCTTCAATCTTTCTTTGTCTACGTAATTTCTCCAAAGGTGTCTGTGTATTCATAGCCTGTCTAATGCAAGGGGCCAAATCCTTGTCTATTTTTATCGCTGCTCGTTGGTCTAGTAGAAATTAGTGCTTCTCTTCTCAAAATTTGCCTTCTCTGCATCCTTTGAATGCGATGGTTACACTGCCACTTGCTAAAACAGGCAAACTGTCAAGCCTTTTTGCAGTTCCTTCTCGGGTTCATGTAGCACTTTTTAAATTTAATGCCTAATTGTTTGTGTACACCATATGGACTAAGCTTTTTTTTTATTTTCTCTTCTAGGTTGCTTTAGATGCTTATTTATATAATATACGGAAAGTGGACTTCAATATCTTTCATCCGAGCTTACAAAAGAGGAGTACATTATTACCGTTGTATTTATATATTAGATCTTGGAAAAAAACATATTAAAACTTTCTTAATATGAAATTTTCTCAGGCTGCTGCTTTTTTATTCTTTAATGTCTTCACTTGATAGACGTGTTAAGTGTCTGACTTCACCCTTGAGCAAGCTGCTGTTCCTGGGAAGCAGCAGATGTGCATGAGCTGTAATTGTCAGCCTGCTGGCAGCAGTTAAGTTTGTTCTTGGAATATTAGGCTGATCTCTCTGCTCCACAAGTCTGCCAAGTCATATGTCCCTGTCTGAGATTACTTTTCTTGTCTCTTTTCTTGTAATAACAGCAATGTGAGAGTTCTTCTTGGACAAAATCTGTACTAATGGATCCTTCTGATAGCTTCCTCTTCACGGCCAAAAAACAAACACCAAAATCCCCACCTTTGTTCGTGCCCTGAAGCAGTTACAGTATATTCGGTGTGTGTCAGCTCAGCAGTTCTGTTTTGTGCAAGGTGTGAACTCCGTGCAAGTACTAATGATGCCTCATGGTTGGAAGGATGATTGCATACAGTTGGAAGTAAGAAAACTGTCAGGAAAAGCTCCAGCTGTTTCAATTACCTAGTGTTTATGTAGTATTTCAAAGTGGTGAAATTAGTCAGAGCCACAGCACAGAAATTATTTCACTGTGTTGAGATTGCGCTTTGGAGTGACTAGGTAGTGGGAGGATCGCTTTACAACAGATAAAGAAAAACCTTGTAAGAGTTTTCTTCATTATTTTAATCTCCAACTCAGCCAAATGCTTTCTCACCGTGCTCTTAGCTTGGCGTTGTCCTCCTCCTGCCCCCTCATCCATCTCTGCTGCTGCCCACAGCTGCCAGTGTAAGGTGGGTTCGGCTGCCCCGTTGTTGATATTCCCCGTGTCTCTCAGGATGCCCTCCTACGTGGCTTCCCCGATTTCCTTCTCTTCAGTAGTCTGATGAAACATATTCCTGAACGTTCCAGGTCATTTTAGTCCTCTCTCTCTGGAAAGATTGCTCTGGTTTTGGTGGGAATTTACTGGGAGCTTTGTACTTAGCATCTCTGAAGATTAAGTGCAAAATATGTTTGATTTGTGTTTTTTTAATTTTTTTTTGGTGAAACAGTGCTTCCTGACATCCAGCGTGATTCAGTTACACAAATCCAGTAGTTTGCTCTGCCATCATCCTCGTTCTATTAAATAAGCTTTTCTTTTTTTTTTTTTCCCAGAGATTTTGTTTCATCGGAGTTAATCTGCCCAGATGCTCGGTTGTATAACAGCCTCCTGTATTTGAGTGTACAGTGCTCTGTAACAACAAAATTCTGACAACAAAATTCATGGCTTTTTTTTTTTTTAATCCCAAAATCTGTTAGCGTGGTAGAAGTTTTAGGACCCCAACATTAAATCCTTCTTTCAGTGGATTCTTTCCCTTTGAATGTGCTCAGCTCAGGATCAAGCTTCATTACATCTCTAATAATAAAGGATCAAGGGTGATATGAACCTAGAAAAATCTGTGTAGGCTGGATCAGGAGTATTAAAAAGCTGGATGCTTTTTAAAAGTAAAAGACAGTGGATTCAATCTGTATCCACTCCTCAAGGTGGCTGCTTTATCGTATCATTGGTGTTCTTCAATCTGGCAGAGGGGTCTAGACAAAAGAAAATATTTTCTTCCTATTTTCTTCCTGCCAAATGAAGAGCTGGGGCTTAGGTCTGCTGCTACCACGAGGGCAGCTGCGCATTCACTCTGTTTCTGTTCTGGAGAAAGCCCTACAAATGTCTCTTTCTGTAGTTGCTCCTCATTTTGTTCCTCGCTTGCTGAGCCAGGACAATAGCAGCAGGCCCGTCTTCCCTTTGAGAAGGAATCGCCCTCCTGTAAAGTTAACTTTTGGCAGGAACTTAGAGAAACTTCGTGATGGAGGAGGAGGGAAAGAAGGGAAGCCACGCAGCATAACTGCATCGGGTTGTTTCGCTGATATCTTGCTTCCAGGCCGCTAGGCCAGTGCTCCGCTTTGGTGTTGGAGTGGAGTAAATCTCGACGATGTGTGCACAAAGGGATCAGTGGAAGGGCTGATTTGTTCTAGGGTGGAGAAGAAACCATGTGATGGCAGCGACGATAGCATGGCGAGAGGAATTTACCAGTGAATTTAGTAAACAGGATACGGAGTAAGGAAATTCAAGTTATGACTTCGGTCACGAGAGAGTTTTCGGTGATCTTAGAAAGCAAAGCAGCGCGTTGAAGTGCAGATGCTGGGAGGCTGCCTGAAAAAGCGGTCTGTGTCTGCTCTGTGTCCTTCCAGAAACTGTTCTTTCCTGGATCACAGGGCCTGATCCTGCCTTTAGGGGCAGCGTTGGGAAGGGGACATTAAATACCTGCAGACAAGGTGCTCGTAGGGTGGCTGCTTGCACTCTCCCCACTTATTTCTTCATTGCAGTCGGTGCCATATAAGAAACTCATTTCACCAGTTCTGGCAATGTACAATTCCCCATCCTACAAAAAAATCATCCTGTTGTTGGATCTGAAAAAGTATTTCCTCACGGTGGTGCTAACCTGCCAGTCATGCCTATCAAAAAAACCCAAAAAACTAGCAAGTGTGTTGCTAGCTGCTAATTACACTTCTGAAAATAATTTCCATACCTAATTGCATCACGGCTAGTTAACCAGCCCTTGTAAAACAGTGATCTAGCAGGTATGCTCCTCAATGGCCATGTGTTTTGTGTATCTATTTGATCTTTATGGTCTTGTTTCCTTTTGGTTAAGCACTGAATTGTGTTTTAAAAAAATATTTAATATTAAATAAATAAATAACATCCACAGGTACAAAGAACAGGACAAAATTTACAATCAAACCATTACGTTCAGGCTATAAATTAATTGGTATTTACCCTTATGGACAGGCAGCCGTTCATGGATAATCATTCACTGATTTATGTTCTCATCTGAAGCGAACTTTAGAAACCTGCTCTGGTAGGAGTAAGCTAGATATGCGGCAGGTTAATATGCTCTGGATATTTTAGATTCTCTGCTCCAAACCTGCTTGAAGTCTGAAATACAGCATAGATGTCCATTTCTATTTCACAGATTTAAAAAAAAATAAAAAATAAAGCTGAGAGTTTTTAATGGAGGATGCTGCTTTTCTTTATGCTTGTGAGGGGACTTCTTAACCTTTAATTGTGCAGTAATAACAGGCTGAGATGCTTTTTTTTGCAAGTTGGCAGTGGATGGCAGCTTGTAAGCGGTAGCTACTTGTGTATAACCTGCTGGAAGGGCTAGGGGCAGCTACCCGTGTACTGCAGCCCGTTGTTTAAAAATAAACAAAAACCTCACTTTCAGTTGCTGCAAAAGGCTGGAATTTGCCTTAAAACAGAAATCCATTTTTTTAATTGTTTGCAATGCACAAAATCTGCACTCCTACTTCAAGTCACAGTATGTGACAAGATGGGGCATCTTCTTTAGTTGAGCTCTAATTGTTTTGTCCTTGTATTAAATAGTCTGTGTTGTAATTTATCCGCCTTAAAAATGTATCAGCTATTAAAAAATAGCTTTTGCTTTTTTTTCTTTAAGCACCTAAGGAATCATTGTAGGCACTTACTCTTCATATTCACTGACAAGTTGCCGTAAGAAGTTACAAGGTCTCCTTTTACTAATTTATTTATTTTTATTGTTACTGTTGTTATTGTTGTTGTTATTATTGTTGCTATAGTTTAGGAAGCACTCAGTTTTTGTTGTCCATTTCAGATTTACAGCTATTCTCTGGGATTATTTTAAAGAAACGTAAAGGATGTTTTAAGTAACGCTATCAATGATGCAATATATATAAAGAGACTGTCATGTTTTCTTCCTGCTCCTGCTTTGGTCTCTAATCTGTGCCAGCAGGACAGGAACTTTAGCAGGGAGGGGAAATTTTGTATGCAAAAGCATCTCCTCCGGTTTCCTACATCAGAATCACCGTGCTCTGGAGAATCAAAGCCAAAATGCTGGGGCTGGGCTGGGGAGATTGTTTAGACTTCTCTCAGTTTATAGTTAAAAAAACAAACAAACAAAAAAAAAAACAACAACAAACCCCTCCAAACTCTTAAAAGATCAGAGCGTGTTTAGTTTTGCCAGAGTGTATCTAGATGCTGTTTCTTGACTTATGACTGCGTGTAATCAGTTAAGGCTGAAGCGTGAAAGCTTACATTTTGTAATTTCACACCTTCTTTAGATACTGCAGGCAGAGCGAAACACTGGGGTTTAGAGCATCCATGCCTATTTAGATTGCCATGCTTAAATAAGCATAAAATTAAATGAGGGGGAAGGAGAAATAGTTAAGCTATCACTGTCAGCCTTCTTCAGTGTCAGAAGGACCACGCGCCTTCAAAGTGCTTGCATGTGGCATCCTGCTTTAGCAGCCCGGTCTCTCTCTCCTCCCCAAAAGGTTGGTGGCTGTTTTCCCTCTGTGCAAATCTGTGAGATTTCCAGATTCAGTCAACTGCCCCCAGATTTTTTCACTCTAACTTTAAAAAACCCAAAGCCAAACCCTCCCTAGGGGAGCCGAGCCAGAGGTGGCAATGTGTAAGGGATGATGGATGCAGTTTTCAGAAATTAGAGGTCTGAGCGGTAGCCGCAGAAGCTGTGGGAGATCTGCTTGCCTGCAAAGAATCAGCTTTTTGTGTAGTGTAAGAGAAGGGCATTAGCCACTACGGTGAGGCAAAGCAGGAATTCACCCCATGCATCTAAAACCACGATGCAAGGAGCTGCTGCTCAGCAGCTGCCCCTGATCTCTGCAGCCCCTTACCTTTAGGGTTCTCGAGGTGCCTGGAGCTGTGTGTGGGTAGGCTCAGAGCTGTCCCAGTGAGCTTCATCTCATGACCACATCGTGCAGGCTCTGCGTACGCAGCATCCTCTGGAGCCCCTCGGCAAGCTGAGCACCTAAGAGCACAGTGTAATGCTGTGGTCCTTCTGGGTGTCCCAGGAATGGAGACCTCAACCAGCTCCTCTCCTGAGACTGGGAATTGGGTGTTTATGTGCGTTTGAGATCAGGATCCGGGCCTCAGTCTGCTGGAAAGCTTTGCTGCGAAGCGCTGCTGCAGGGATGGAGGT